CCTGTCGTTGACTGCCGTTGACTTTAACAGAAGGGAGATTCGTGTAGGATATTTTCAAAAGTAGGGGAGGTCCGCGTAATTTTCGAAACAAGAAAGGCATTGTCTGTAATTATGGCAAATCATAAGAAAGGTATGTGTAAATTACCCAAAAATGAAACACCTATGAGATTTAATCTCGTCTCGTGGATACAAACAAGTGTGTCTCTTTATTGCATTTGTATACACATGCTTATGATTTAGAAGCAGCAATAATTCACATGATCGAACATGAATTTGTGTTTTCGTCGTTGAAGACATTTCCCATTCTCTCCTCAGGCACTTTTGGGGCAGGTGGAGCATTGTGAGCATAGCTTGCAGGTGCTCTTTTGTCATAGTAAGGCAATGATTCAACTCTTTTTCCACTACTCTTTGCTTTCTTCAATGCCTTGTTTGGATCAACATTGCCACTAACTCTTACCTAGTTTTGCTTTGATTTCACACCTAAAAGCCAATGTGTGTGTGAGAGAGAGATTATGATAATATGTGTACAGGTAATATAACATCTTCTCCTTTGAGGGGTTCAAGCCTCATAGTGGCATAGTGGACATTTGTTGGTGTGTGTGTGACCATGTGAGTATTAATCACAAAAAATACAAATAAATAAATAATATTGCTGTTTTGGCTATATATAGAAGCGTGCTGCTATATATATATATTCTCAAGTATCATGATTGCTTTGTTATTTAAGAAACTATATATATATATATATATATGCAACCAGAAGGATGAAAGAGCATGTATATGAATCTGTCATGGAATTACCATAATTCTTGGCTCTCTTTTTGCCTCCATCAGAGTCCATTTTGCCTTTAGTTTCAACTGCCTCAGATAGAAAACACAACCCATCTCAAAAAAGTTAAAATCAGAGCAATGTACAACCAGCAAAACATGTGTGTGTATGTGTGTGTATGAGAGATAGAGAGAGAGAGAGAGAGATGGAGGGGGGGGGGGGGGGGGGGGGGGGGAGATGAGGGTGGTTGGCTGGAGTTAATGAGTACTTGCATTGGTTTGCATTTGCTTCTTGTGGTGCACACATTGGCATCTATTAATTCCATTCTTTTTGGCATTCACTCTTGCATCTATTCCATTCACCTTGGCATTTATTTCATTCACTTTGGCATCTATTCCATTCACTCGCACTAGAATCTTCTTGTTGTCTCTTGTCTGCAGAGCTTGCACATAGATCACAAAGAATTTCTCGAGCGAAATTGCAAAATTGATGAGCTTCTTCGAGTATAGAGGTCTCATGAAGCAATTCAAACCAAGGTTGTTAAAATTGGGATTCTACGTAGAATCGTTTTGGTCTCCGTAGAATGGAATTGTAGAATCGAATTGTGAATCGTAAGATTCTACCAAATTGTGAAAAAACAATTGAAACTAACTTCTTAAACAATAAAATCTGTAAAATATAACAAAAATAAGGCAAAATTACACAACCAAACATATCTAACCTCAACATAGTCCATCAAGGGATAAAATTTGACATTTAAGGGATATTTTTTGTCCCGTAAATAAGTAAAAAGACTTCCCCCAAATTTTTTTACCCTCCCCCAAATTGTGCACAATTAAAATTACACTTAAAAAAATTATATACATAAATAAAAAATAAAAAACCTCATTCACATTTCCATTATGAAGCATTTCATTATTAAGGGAGCAAAAAATATATAGATAAATAAAAAATAAAAAAACCTCAAACACAGACAAGCCTCAAACATAGGCGAAGAGGGAACGACAAAGAAAAGGGGAGCCGCGACGAAGAAGAGGGGAGTAGCGACGCGAGCGGCGAACAAAGGGGAGCGATCAGTAAGCAGCGATCGACGAAGACCAGCGACCTGTGAGCAGCGACCAGCGAGCAGCGACTGGCGATCAGTGACGAAGACTAGCGACCATTTCTACCAGCGAGCGAACAAGGACGAAGGTACCATGTTTTGCCTATTTATGTGATTTTAATCTGATTTATGTGACTGTCCAGTGAATTCCCCTCTTCTCTTCACCTATGTTTTAGTGTATTATGAAATTTGGGTTAGTCTTTGACGGTGTATTATGAAATTTGGGTTAGTCTTTGACGGTGTATTATGAAATTTGTAGAATCGCTAGAATTGTGTAGAATCGTATGATTCTACAATTCTACCCTCGATTGTACCTTAATTCTACCAATTGAACGATTTTGTTAAGATTTGGATCGATTTTGGATTTTGAATCGTAGAATCATGCGATTCTATGACTCAGAATCAGGATTTTGACAACCATGCATGATTCAAACACTTAATTTTCGAGCACTTGTGGACCAGCTTCGCACCCTCTTTCAAGTGATGGGTGAACATATTTGTTTCTTTCTCCGGAATGTCCAATTCTCTGTTCAACTTCTCGATTTCACGTACAATTGGTTCGAGTGAATTCAGTATCGATACAAGTCTTTCGAGCTCAGACTTGAAGCTGATGGAGTTGTCTTTGACATCCACAACTACTTTGAGTAATTCACTAAACAGGGCTCCCAAAACATCTCCTCCAATCAATGCCGACACCGTCTATAGGTTTTTCTCTGCAGAGAGCATAAAAAATCAATTCACTAAAAATCAAGAATTTCAGAAGGAATGTTTTGGAGGACTCAGAAGTTTTCTCCCAAGTTTCTCTGATTTTCCCTGGAATTCAGGATTCAATTCAAGAGAAAAGATCAAAGGAATATAATTATGTGTCAACAAAGTATATTTTGATTTGTGAAGTGGAATAGAATATTGTCATTCTTCGATAAGTCACTAATCATATTAACTCGGATAAAATCCCGCCTTAAAATTAGTTGCATCTTAAGTCACACAATTATTTTAAAAACTTAGAATTTTTGCTTAGGGCCAAAAAAAAAATAGTAATAAAAAAATATATATTTTTTTTTTTCAAAAACAACATAAGGGTCAAAAGTAAGTATACGTTTTTTCTCTTTTACGCTATATATAATTCATTAGTTCGACCCAAGATTGGATCCGGCCAAAAAGTCCATTACTGAATACATTAAGAACTGATCGAAGCTGCTGTCACAATAGTAAATCAAGAACAGAAAATTAACAACATACATTACATGAATTGATGAAAACAAAACTATTCATATATTATAAAAAAAATGTCATTACAATCAATCAGTTGTTGGCATCTTAAAGCGACAAACCGGACAAAAGTTATTAATTTCCAGCCAATGGACAATGCAATCTTCGTGGTAGATATGATGACAGGGCATGCGGGTGACTTTGGACCCGAGTTGAAATTTGTCCAAACAAATCACACATTGATCCATGTAACCCTCGATTACTATCGCTTTCTCCAAAGCTTGAACGGATGATTTACTTGCCGGCACAGTCTTTAACACATTGTCATCGTTGTCATCATCGCTATCGTTATCATCATCGCCATCGTCAATCCTCGGCCTACACAAAACCACTATGTCCATGAAAAGAAAGGGTACGCTAGCACTGGAACTTGCTTCAATACCCGAGATAATGTGACTACGACATATATGGTCACTTATGTCACCACGGGTCCACAACTAGGGAGAATGGCACGAAATATATGGTGAGGATCGACGGTGACTGTGACCGTAGAGAGGTATGTCGAGAAGGGTGGGCTAGTACTAGTACTAGTAGTAGAACTTGTGTGGTTGTCGATAGTTATGGCGCGACAACCAGAGAGAATGTTATGAAATATATCGCCCTCATTGAGGTTGATTCCAAGCGTAGAGAAGAATTGAGAGAAGCACGATTGTGCTTCGTCATCTGACAACAATACGGTGTTCGAAATTGGGTATTTTGTTCTTCTCACCGCCACACTTTCTTCTAAAGCAAAGGCATGGTTGTACCACAATTTGTTAACTCGCCGGCGGCAGTAATGTATGGTCAAGATTAAGATGAGCTTTGTCGAAACACCACTCAGTCTCTACGTCATACATGTCCATGTCCATGCAGAAGTATTTGGCCTAGTGAAATAGTACTGAAGCTAGAAGGAATCTATATATATATATAAACTGTGTCTCGCAGTCCTTGTTGGAAGGGAGGATCTACAGCGGGTGAGGACAATAGACTCCTTGTGTGTACCCCGTCCGAATGAAAAAGTGTTCAATTTTAGGGTTGGATATATATATATATATATATATATATATATATATATATATATATATATATGTAATACTATAATAGTTCGGACTCAAATTATAATGGTTCTGAGTAAGGAAACAAAAATGGCCCATGAATCACTAGCCTCCTTCTGTGTATACCCTTCCGAATGAAAAAGTGTCTTATTTAAGGATTGGATGCATAGTGTGTGTGTGTATATATATATAGATATATCTACACGGAATACTATAATGGTTCGGACTCAAAATCATTAGAGGCCTGAGCCGGCCCAATAAGGTGATGGGACGGGTCTGGGTATAAAATTTGACCCCCAGTCCAACTTGTAATCCCATCCACAAGCCCACCCCCATCCGGATCTATTAGTCCACCCACCTCCAAGACCACTTATTTATTTATTAATAATTGAGGAAAAAAAAGAAAGTAAATTAATTTATTTGGTGAAGTCCTAACGTATATTTACTACATATTTCAAAAAAATGTTCAAATGACTCTTTATTCTTTAAACATTGGGTCTAGAAAACACTCAGTAAAAAAATTATACTAAACTTTTATGAAGACAGAAAATGGCTTAAATTGAGATGGTGGTAAAAATTAAAAAATGGATGCTCTATAACGACCTCCCCATCATGGAGATCTGGAAATCGGTAAAAATTAAAATGTGGACTAAAGTTTGACCAAAATTTCAACAGATACAAACTTCATAGTTCATAATAAAATTATTTCATAAGCATCCCTTTGACCTTGTTAATGGAAAGATATATTTACTGCAGACTTATACTCTCAACAGTGTCAAATTTATAAACCTCATATATATATATATATATATATATATCAGCTAATTAAAACATTGGCAGCATTTTTACATTAGGAATTTTAAACTGGTAAAGCATGAAATCATACATGTATATATAGTAGAAGGTCACAACAAAACAACAGATATATATAATATGGTCCAGTATCAGATACTGTATTAAACTGATAAGAGCAGACTCACTTTCTATAGAAATTCCTTTAACTCACACTTTCAACCTCGGTGTCAAAATTTTCTTTTTGTTTCATCGAACTCAGCTCAGCTCAGCTCAGCTCAAGTATTTCTCATGCATATATAATTTTATGTATTATTTTCCAGGAAGAAGCAGCACTTCACATGAATTCAACATGCATTTGGATTTTCGTCACTGAAGATATTAGAGATGCTCTCCTTAGGCCGGGAAGGTAGAACATTGCGAACGTTGGCTGCTGCAGTACTCTCTACTGTCTTAAACACCTTTTTTGGATCAGCATTGCCACTATCTGTTACCCGGCTTTGATTTCGCTTAGCCTTCACAGATTTCACACCTAAAACCCAGTGAGAGAGAGACTATGATAATATGGAGTATATAACATGAAAAGAACTCCAGAGAGATCAAAACCACGTTTCATTTGATTAGTACATATATTGAGCAGCTGAGACATAAGGTTATATTATCCCAAGAGACACATATTATACATAAATAAACATATAAACAATATATATAGTAGGGTTAATTTGGGGGTCTTGGCTATCCATGTGATAGACTTTATGTGTCTTATATTATCTTATCTTAGGTGTTCCTTGCTTTGACCTTCAGATAGAATAAAATAAAATTAAAAAAAAAAAAAAAAACTGAGGTGTTAATTTTCTTCAATTCCAGGAGCATTTATGAGGTACATATAAAATTTGCTTAAATTTTTGAAAAAATAAAATAAATTATTATTATTATTTTTTTTTAGTTAAAATAAATAAATTAAATTATTGCTAAAGCAAAAGTCTTTCTTCTCCACTTAAAGCAATAAATCCTAAAAGCCCATTCATTAGTTGATCATACAAAAACAGATAGAATCGTACCAAAAGTACAGGAAACAAATTTCAGTTCTCACCTACTTGAAACTTTTTCCTTTTCCTCCTGTGCAGTGTTAACCAGGTTTTATAAGTACACACAAAAAAAAACACACACACACACTTGAATATTCATTTTTCTGTACACTGTTTATCTTAGTTAGGTTTCAAATCAAGTGTATATTAGACATTTTGATTATAACAAATTATTAAAAGTGTTAAATTCAATGTGTACTTGAGTTTATGTTAAACAGATTTTACATGAATAAGAAACTAAAGAGAGCTAATGGAATCAATGGAAAAAGGCTGAGAAGGATCCAACACTTCGAGATGAAATCTAAAAGTTCAAAAGACATTGAAATCAAAGATGAAAAGCCTTCCGAAAATCAAGAATCATTGAAGTCAAAGATAAAGAGCTCGAATGACATTAAAGTCGAAAATAAAGACTTCCAAAGCACAAAAGACACAGAAATTAGAGATAAGATATCGAGGCAAAGTCAATTAAAGATCAAAAGACTTGGGTAGATAATGAAGAAAAAAAGGTTTAACAATTTATAACTTAGAATTCCATAAATTAATCACCAAATCATTAACTCTAATGGATCAAATAAGTTACAAGCAGAACCATAGGATATATATAGAATCATAGATAATCAATTGTTTGTCATAGAAGGATGAAAAAGAGCTTGCGAGAGAGAGAGAGAGAGAGAGAGAGAGAGAGTATCTATAAGAACCTTTCCTGAACTTAACAGCATTCTTCACCCTCCTTGGGCAGCCATCACAGTGCACATTCACTACAATTTCAACAGTCTGCACAGACAGAAACACAGAACCCATCTCTCAGAAAGAATTAAAAAAGCAACCGAAGTGAGTTTAAACCAGCAAAAAGCATGGGCGTGTAAGTGTGTGTGAGAGAGAGAGAGAGAGTTGAGTTGTTCACAGATGAGGTACCTGCTGTCTGCGTTTTCCCTTGGAATCACAAACCTTTTTAACTTTCCTCGAACTCGACATTTCATTCAATTTTGCCATTATTTGATTCATCAGAACACGATTCTTCTTGATGTCTCTAGTTAGCAGAGCTTGAACATTGATCTGAAAGAATTTCTGAAGCGAATCTGTATATTTGATGAGCTTCTTGGAGTGGAAAGGCCTCATGAAGCACTTCAAACCCTCGATTTTTGAGCTCTTGAGGACCAGCTCATTGCCCTCTCTCAAGAGATCGGTTAGTTTCTTGGTTACTTCCTCTACAACGTTCAATTCTCCGTCCAACTTCACAATATCAACTACAATTGCTTCCACTGAATTCAGTGTTGATCTAACTCCGGCAAGTTCGGACTTGAACTTTCTGGTTTTGTCAGTCACATCCACAACAACTTTCAGTAATTCACCAAAAACTGCTCCCAAAGCAGCCCCTCCAACCAACGAACCCATGAACGCCATTATCTATATGTTTTTTCTTTTCTGCACACGAGAAAAACCTAATTCATTGAAATTCAAGAGGAAATGTGTTTTTCTCTTGAGTGAATCAAGAATTTCAGAAGAAATTAATGTTTTGGAATTCCACAAGTTTGTCTGATTTTTCTTGGAATTCAATTCATGAAAAAAGATCAAAGCGATCTAATTGGTCTGGGAACACCATGACTAGTGTCCACAGAGGACAGGCCAAGTAAGAAGCTAACACAAACATGTAACGATTTATTTCGAATAATAAGCAAACACACATGCACATCTTCATGCTCACTTCCAAACTTAGCCCCTTCTTCCTCTTTGAGAATGAAAAAGTTAATTAACTTATGATAGTACCGTTAGGTTAAATGCCTTTTGGTATATATATATATATATATTTTGAAAAAATAAATAAGATACTCTCCTTAATCCTTTGAGTGAGCTAGACAGTGGAGGCCATAGATACATCAAATCACTTCAATTTTTAATATGATAGTACCAGATGTATGATTCTTTTGTCTTTAAGATTATGCGTTTCCTTAATATTTGGAATCCCTTAATTCTTGTTGAATTCATTTCGTGTATATACTATACATATATACTTTGAAAGTATTGAAAGAGAGGTGAGTTTTAACCCCTCATCAATATTATCTTTCAATGTGTATATATACAAGTTTACATTTAACTGAACGGAAGAAAAGAATTAAGGGATTATGATTCTAAATAATCCTTGATCGATTAATCCTCGAATATAAGAGATAATAATTTATCATATAAAAAATGTCTTAGTTCATGAAATTTGATAGCATTTCATAAGCATAAGAATGAAATTTTTTTTAAAAAAAAAATTACATCAACAACTAGCATAGAATCAAATACGAATTGAATAGCTACAAATAATTGGGAAGGCTGATGACCTACCTAGCTTGAGTACTGGTTGAGGAGATTCCAAAGCCAGCAGATCCAGAGTTGCCTGGAACAAGCTATATACGTGGTCAATGCTTAATATATATATCTTTGAGTAATTTAATATCCGCAGCCTTCTAGGAACTTGCTGGGATGGCACTTCAGTTGCTGAGCAGTTGACTACAGTCAAGACTGATGATGGTCAGTCTTAGCGTGTGAAGAAGGGAATGGAACTCTGAATTTATAGAGTAGTGTAATAAAGATCTAATCCTTTATTACTCAGACAACACATTCATTGGTCCATTTAAAATCATTTTTAAACATATGAGATGGATAAAAATTACTTTTTGAGACTATAAAATTGTTATCCACCCATTGAATATTGAGGCAAAGGGCCAAAGGCTATAAATGCATAATCTTGGTCGTTAAGCTAAAAGTTTGGTTGAGTAACAATTGCAAAAGTGATAATTGAAGGAATGTCTAGACCAAAGTGTGAAAACGTTAAAATTAAATTATATAAAGTGAAAGTTTGAAAGTAAAATTGTGCCTATACTTGGTGTGAATTAAGGACACCATTTACTCTCTCCCCACCACCTTTTGCACCTATATCAAATCCAATGGAGGCTTATAAAGAAGAGAGGTAAAAAATTGTTGAGTGTAGTCTCATTTTGCAACTCATGAACCATGACTAAATATTGTTATATAATTATTATTATATGATTGGCAGCATCACGGAACAGGCATGACGTGTCTTAAAGAGTAAAATATTAGTTAATGATAATATATATATTAAATAATTTGGATTGTATGATTTGTATTTGGATTCCATAATTAAATTTAAGAACACCGGTCATTAAGCATATTTATATATACATACACACAAGCAATAATTTTTTTCTTGAAACAAATGGTTAAAATAGTTTTAGACCTCATCTTTCACTCACAACTGTTTATAATTTTTAATGCTTTAAACATTTTCTCAGTCAAATTGGAAACATTTATTGAGTTACGACCAAGAACTAAGGATTTTGTAATGTAATAGTATCTTTCCTACCTTTAAAACTAGACTGTAAAGATTCGAACCTCCAATTAAGTAAAATGAGTGAATGAATAACGTGTTTGAGATGTGTGTGACTGTTTCACAGTGTCCAAAGTCAAGGCTGGTTACTATCATTGCAATTAACTAAGAAATATCCAAGAAGGAAAAGAGCATCAGGTTGACGTTGACTTGATGACCAAGACTTTTATGTAAGCACTCTAGAGTCTAGCATTAAAGGAAATAACACTTTTAATTTTAATTTTAATTATTTTTTTCTGGTAAATAAAAAAAGCATAACATTGAATTAGCCAACTCTTTTATTAACTTTATATATATTATGTTTTGAATAAATTATCTCAGAAAAAACCAAAATAAGTACTAAAAATATATATATATATATATATATATTGAACTTTATAGTGAAAAGAATATTTATGGTATTATAAATTAACGAATGATGTATTTTAGAGCCTTTCTTGTTATTTCCTTTGAAAAGTAAGGAAAATATGAGTGATAGGATAGTTAATTATTATTATTATTATTTTTCAAAAGATAAAATTGCATTGAAATATAAGTAATATTTACAGGGAAACTTCCGGAATGGCCAAAGCTTTTCAGTCCAAACAAGTTATTCTAAAGACAACTGCCGCCTAAGCCCAATTAATTTAATTTATGACCACTTAAGAAGACCTAATTACCCAAGTACGAAATAGTACTCGGTGAAAAAGCAACTTACCAAAATTTAATTAATTACAAATTCATTAATTTTTAGCTTTTGGGTACAAATTGTCCTTAACAACTAAATAAGAAGACTGCACAAATGTCAATCACCATACCAATTTATTAAAATCACCCTAAATAATATTTGAAAAGTCGTGCAAAATATATATATATATATCAAGAGTCAGATGATCTGACATTCCCTTTAGGATCACCAGCGTCTTATAAGAATATTATGACATCACTCCATTCAAATTAAAGGCAGAAATTAGGGACATGGTTAAAAATAGAGTTAACAAACTAATAAAGTTGGTAAAGAACAAGGTTTGAACTAAATAAGAAAATTGGGGAGGAGGAGAAAATAAAATGTTAACAATTTTTTGCACATATGGTCGGACTAACTAAATCTACAAGAATTCTTATTGTATATCAAATGAGAGAATGAGTGTTCAAGTCTTACTAGAACAATATTGTCTGAGTATTTATGGTAGGATAGTTAATTTTATTATTATTATTATTGTTGAGGGTGAAATCCACACAGTCTGATACGACACCGTTTTCTTTTAAAGAAGAGAGTAGAAGATCGATGAATCTTGATAGCACCGGTGTGATGCCTGCCAAGAGCTCTCCGACGATCAAGTTAGTCACCGGAGGTCTAAAAGAAAGGTAGGGATTTAATAATAGTTTTTTGTCGTACCTTTATTGACTGGTAGGATCTCATTCTTATAGTAGCTCTCCCTCAGTTCATTTGTGAGATTAGAGGAGATCCGCTTGTGCGAGATCAGAGGAGATCTGCTTATGCGAGATCAAAGGAGATCTGTTTGTTGCCAGATTTGTCGGGAATATGATTTAACCCTTTTGACTTCCTCAAATTGTGCCAAGGTTATCCTTACCCTATTGAACCACGTCATCTTTCGTTATCCTTGATAATGAAATATTATCATTCTTATTCAATGGAAATATCATCGTTTGAAGGTCGAAGAGGTCTGACGGTTGGTCAATACTTAGTTGTCTCTATTGTTAGGTCAAGGTAGGCTAGGTTTATTGTTTCCTATAGCCCTCCATTCCCAAGCTTGCTCGTCTAGCTTTGAGAATGTGATTTTTTTTTTTTTTTTTTTTTTTTTGCCCCGGGCACTGTTCTCTCGGGAAAGTGCCCGCGGGTACTGTTTCACTTGAACAGTAAACTTTTTTTTTTTTTTTTTTTTTTGCCCTGGGCACTTTTCCCTCGGGAACAGTGCCCACGGGTTACTGTTCACATGAACAATATATTTTATTTTTGGTACCCTTGGGAACTCTTCCCTTAGGTACTGTTCCCTTGGGTACTCTGCCCTTGGGTAATGTTCATGTGGGTACTCTGCCCTTGGGTAATGTTTCCTTGGGTAATCTTTCCTTAGGTACTATTTCCTTGGGTAATGTTTCCGTTGGTACTCTGTTCTTGGGTAATGTTCTCAATAGTGGAATTAATACAAATACCAAATCAAGATTCTGTTTTGGAAGGGCATGGATTCAAACCCATGGTCAATGACTCTTAGTGATGTAAAACTAGATTTTTCTTTTGAAAATCCAATATACTAGTTGTAAACTTCATGGGTTTCAGTATCTATATATCTATATGTTGGGATTTGTATGCCCTTGCAAAGTAAATTCTTGCTTGGACTGTAAATGTTGTTTTTTATATGAGTATTATTATTTATGCATTATACAATTGGTGATTGTAATGTATTATTTTTTTATTCATTATAGAATTAATTGTGTCCACTTATTATATGTATGTAATGACAATAAATACATGGTCATAAATAGTAATCATAAATGGTTCAAAGTCGGTAATTATGGATGGATATTTAATTAACTAAAACTTAAACCGAATCCACGATAGGTTAATATATATTGCGAAAGTCGTCGTATGCAATTGTTCTCTATCATTATCATGGCATTTGACTCTCAAGTATGAGAGAAATATAAATTCTTTTATTAATTAATAATTACATTGATTTATTCGATGGATTCTTCGGGATCTATAGATCGGCACTTTGGGTAGTTATGTAATTAATAGTTAGAGGGTTATATTATCAATAGTTGCATCATTACTACTTGTATATATTTTGTATTGATTATGTTTGATCACAAAGTAAAATTCAATGGCCTTCGTGTATTTTAGACAAATTGTTTTCTATGTATTAATTTACTAAATTAATATTTTTGTTAAACAAGTTTTTATTGTGATCAAGCTGAATATATTCAAAGGTACCAAAATAAATATATTAATTATGTAGTTGGATTGATGTTTGTATTTAACCGATAACTAATTATTCATAGAGGGGTTAAAATGCAACATTGACTTAGAGGTTATTTACTATTTAATTGGAGGTCAATTAATTTCTTTTAGTAGAGTAGAAACTGATTTATGAATTAATTGAATTGAGCTCATGAATTGGGCAATTATTAATTCATCGTTGTCAAGAAAATAGTAAGTCCAATGGATTCTCATCAATAACCCAACTTGATATTGGACGCCCATTAGATTCGAGATACCACTTGAATTTTGGAGATTGAGAATTATTGTCTGTGCATTATTTGGAAGAAAAGAAAGGGTTAAGTGCAAAAAAGAAAAGGGTTAAGTGCAAAAAGAACCCTTGATATATAGAGTTTGTACAAAATTAGTCTCTACTTTTTAAAAATGTGCATTTTAGTTCATAAAATTCAAAAAAGTACAAATAAGTCCATCGGACCACTTTTTGATCAAAAATCCTATTTTGCCCTTTTATCTTCTTATTATACCCTTATATAATATATTAATGCAATTAGTTTGTATTTAAAAGAATATATTATATTTAAAGGAATGAGTAAATGTTACTTTAATTAGTTTTTAGAGAAGATGATCAGAACCCTAACCTCTCTCTCTCTCTCTCTCCACGCCCCCATCGTTGTTTATCACGAGCACATGAAGTAAAGGAATTGTCAATTATTTACTTCAAACACTCATGATATATAACAATGGTGCTACGAACCACGTTTACAAGTTCTACATTTAAGAATCTGATGTGGGTTCGGTGGATCTGGAATTTGGAATTTGGAACGTGGATCTCAGGAATTTGGAATTTGGAGACGAGAGAGATTGAGGGGTGGTGGGAGTGAGGGGGGCGGTTTGGTGGTAGGCCAGAGGTGGTAGTCGATGGTTCGATGGAGGAGGGCGGTGGAGGTTTAACTAGTCGCGGGGTTGAGTTTTGAGACGAGAGAAAGGGAATGGTGGTGGATACCGGCGAGGAGTTCTTTGACGGGGATAAAGACGGAGCCGATGTTTCAGTGGCGAGGACGCCGTGGTCAGAGCGGAGTTTGAAAAGGAGGAAAAGGTCAATGGGGTTGCCCAAGTTTTCGGCTATTTTCATATTTGCCGATGTATCTCTATCTTCTCTTTTCCGGTTCCTTCCATATTCATGAATTCATACAGTTGTCAATACCAGATTTGCTTTCTCTCTCTACGACGCTACTAACAGAAAAATTTGAGATTACCAAAAATAGAACTAAAGAAAGGAACAAATGAGATGGCAAAAACATTGATATTAAAGGAAGAAATATACAGTGATCTCAGATTGGAAACTTCTCAGATTACCAAGAATTGAAAGGAAAAAATAGACATAATTATTGCCAAAAATTTACAATTGAAAGAAGAAATAAACACATATATGTTTATATATATATATATATATATATATATATATATATTATATAAGTATAGGTTTTGCGTGAAATCAGAGTTGACGGTGAACCTGCATCCAGAAGGATATGTTATTTATTGTTAGTTCTTCCACGATTTTGTAGCTAATGCCTAAAGAGAAGTCAAAAAATGAATTTTCCCCTCAATATACCAAGGCAGCATAAAAGATTCTTAATTTTTTTGTCAATTCGGAATCAAGTTTGGGGTAGCATATTTTTTTAAGGTTTTAGATCTTTTTACCTAACTAAAGCTCCTCCAAAAAATATCCTCCCACGTAATAGCTGCTAAAGGAAACAAAAAATATTGCCAAAGCCATACAAGACATAACAGCGAATGTAGATGATAAAGGGTAAAATGGTTATTTTACATAGTTTGTATTTAAACTTATTATTTTATTTTACTGAAATGAGGGTATTATCGTCATTTTAAATCTTCAGGGGGCTATATATGGGGTTTTTCTTTTAACTACATAGGGACTATTATACACTATATCGATTGTAGAGGGGTTTTTTTTTAACACTTAAACCAAAAGAAAAATATTTCTCTCTCTAAGATTTTAGGGTTAGTGTTCTCATTTAAAAGAGGCTTCTCTCTAAGGTCATTTATAGTGGTATATGAGTGATTCCTAAGGGAAGATCACTACCAAGAAGGAGGAGAAATGATCTAATTCAGGGATCCACAATAAATGAAAACATTCACTTTAGAGGAAACTTTAAAGGTTTACTCAAACTTTTGATGTAAGTTTTCAAATTTAAAATGAATGATTAATCATTTTTAGGTTTTGCATAAAACTTGTCTTTATATCATAAATCAAGATCCATGTTTATAAATTACTCAAAAAAATTTTAAAACTTACATTTCCCTGACACTATATACATATTTGATATATCTCTATATATAAAAGGTGGAGCTTCGTGCTATGTATGTAAGATATATGTGTATACATATAGGAAGAGAATTTTTTTTTTTCTTAGTTGACTCGTACATATATGCCTCTACTGAAGCTTGAACTCTGACATCCCTTTGAAAAGTAAGGATCTAATACCACTAAACTATGACTCATTGGTTACATATAGGGAGAGAATCCATCTTTCTATGTATTTATAAGACCTCTCTATTTATACTTAAGACATATCTACACACATATATAACTAGATGTTTAAGTTGATAACCTTGATCTCTGTTTCAATCTGTTAGAATTTAGGAAAAACCCATTAAAGCTTTGAAGTGTCCATATATGGAGATTGATTAGGATTTCGTGGATGGAAGAATAGAGATGGAGATTAGGGGAAGATAGATGATTTCAAAAGCATTCTCAAATGAGTTTTAATTTGATCCTGGTCAACCCGTTTAAAATGAATTGACCTACTTCTTAATATGTTTTTTAGTATTATTTAATTTGGATACATGTGTTAAATTTTTTTTGGACCACATCGGTTAGCATAATGAATTCTTCCAATTTATGGGGTAAGAGGTAAGTATATCCATGCATGTCTAAAATCTGGCTACCGATGGTGCAAATTAAAAGTGCTATCCGAGCTGTGCTAAACAATTTCATCCACAAACATCAGAAGACAAAGAAATTACCAATATTTATGGTCATGAATTTGCCTTGAATGTCATGGATCCTCCATTTTGGGGGAATTCATTATTATTATTATTTTTTTCATGAATTTTGATACGGAAGATTAAAATCGTTGAGGAACGATAACCTACCAAATATTTTTTATAAAGAGGAGGCTGGACAACTCAAAAAGTAAGCAAGTATTAACTTGATGTCGGAGAATGTCCGGCTAACACCACGTTGTGCTTGTTATTTTGCATCAACAAATTTGCTTATAATTTAATGATTATTTATGATGCTTTTTACAATAAATATTGTCGATTTCTTGTTTTCTTAGTGGATTAATTATTTTGCATTGCTTAATTGTTAAATGAGTTGTGATTGTTTTACCAGGTGTATTTCTTGTTAAGTTTGAGTATCAACTTAAATTACAAGAATTCAATCACACTTATTATAAAAATGTAAAAACACATCTAAAAAAACTCACACACGAGCAGCAGTACTTCACATGATGGAACATCCATTTGCGTTTTCGTCACTGAAGATATTGAATCTCTCCTCAGTCATATTTGAGGCCTCAGGAAAATTATATGGCATGTGAGCCCAGAATTCAGCTCTCTTTCCAGTACTCTTCACCTTCTTCAAGACCATGTTTGGATCAACATAGCCACTAACTGTCACCCGGTTTTGCTTTCGGTTAACCTCCACAGATTTCACACCTAAAAGTCAACCAGGGAGAGAGAAATTATGTTAATAATATATAAGATGAAAAGAATACCATAAAGTTCAAAAGCACCTATAAAGGATATTTGGTGCCTCATGAATTATTAAGTTTTAGTGGAATCAATTTTTTAGCGGCTAAATCTTACTCGATTTGTCTAGAGGGGTCGCTTTATACGGGTTTCGTGAATTAGTTGGGACAAATTTTCGATTTGTACGAGTCTCGTGAATTAGTTGGGGCAAATTCCCAAACAACCATGTTATCAGGAAAAGAAAAAAAAACAGGCATAAAATAAGGTTAATTTGGGATTATGTGTTTTATTATCACCTGCTTTAAGCTTCAAAAAGAGACAAACCAATCAACAGACTAAATTGAACACACAAGAAAAGATTTTATTTGCAGTCAACTGAGATGTTCAAAATTCAGATTCTAACGACTAGTTCGACTATATTCTTTACCATAAATATATATTCTTTACTATAAATACACGAATATTTACAAGTGTAGAAATGTAGAAAAAGATTTCTACCATGTGAGTTATACCGTTATGCTTATCTTTCACCATCATTTGTTGGTAGATGCTACCATTGAGTTTTAAACTATGAATGTCATTCATTCATTTGGTAGCAACAAGCACTATATAGTACTTAAAGTTGCTTATCAGTTATCACCACTGAATATATATATATATATATCATTTATAGTGGTGTTGCCTTTTGGGCTGGTTGTGTTTGCCTTTGGGCTGTGGGTCTGGCCCTGTTCTTTTGATGTTTTACCAAAAAAAACACACACACAAAACATTTATAGTGGAATCAATGTTTTACTCATCTCTTATCCTTTTATTATTACAAACATGTTTATTAAATGTTGTTAGTCTATATTATACTACTCATATATACGTTGGTCCAAAATAGTTAGTTAATGATTAGTGTATGTTTATGTATTAGGTGTCATTGCTATATAAATGTACCACATGTTGTGTGTTAATGAAGCATACAAATTAAAAAAAAAAAAAAAAAAATCAAAACTAACATTATATCTCTTGAAACAAGTTTTCAATCTAATGTTTTAGTCGATCCCGTAAATTAATCATTTGATCACCAACCCATTGATCAACATTAGAATCAAATTAACCTATTAATCAAGAAATAAGCTTTCACAATTTATGACTTAGAAGTCCATAAATTATTAACCACTCTTTAACCAACGGATGAAAAGATTTTGAGAGAGAGAGAGTAAGAACCTTCCATGGAAATAACAGAATATATCACTCCCCTTTCGCATTCATCAGAGTCCATTTCGACTTTAACATCAACTGCCTGAGACAAAAAAAAAAAAAATACAACCCATCTATGAGAAAGAATTAAGAAATGTTAAAGCAGCAAAACATGTGTGTGTAAGTGTGTGAGAGAGAGAAGAGTCGTTCACAGATTATACACCTTAAAGTGAAGGTGATTGGTGGCTGGAGCTATGTTCCAATCATAAACCCATCCACCTTTCCTCATAGTCGACCACTTTTCATCCAATTTGGCCTCCATTTCATTCATTTTTTCATCCAATTTGGCATATATTTCTTTCAATTTCGCATCTATTTTATTATCATTCTCCACAATCTCTTCATCCAACATCGCAAACATCTCAATCATCTTTTCATCCAATCTCGCTTTCATATCGATCATCTTTTCATCGAATATCAAATCCATCCACGTCGCTTTCTCCACAAACTTTTCATACAATTCCGCCATTTCCCATTTCGCCATTTCATTCACTTTCACCAGAATGTTTCCATACAAATCCTCTAGTTCATTCACTTTCACCAGAATCTTCTTGTTATCTCTTGTCTGCACAGCCTGCACATATATCTGAAAGAATTTCTCAAGCGAATCGCCAAATTCCATGAGCTTCCTCGAGTAAGAAAATCTCTTGATGCAGTTCAAACCCTCAAATTTCGAGCACTTGCGCACCAGATCCGTTGCCTTTTTCAACAGATGGGTGAACGTTTTGGTTTCTTCCTCCGGAACATCCAATTTTTTGTTCAACCCCTCAATATCGAGTACAATTGGTGCGAGTGAATTCAGAATCGATACAAATATGCCGAGTTCAGACTTGAAGTTGATGGTTTTTTCAGCCACATCCACAGCAACTTTCATTAATTCACCGAAAGCTGCTCCCAAAGCCGCCCCTCCAATCAACGCCGACGCCATCTGTATGCTTTTTTCACTGAAAATCAAAGATAAAATTGGGGTTTTCTCTCTCTAGAATGTCAGAAGTAATGCTTTTAAGGAATTCTCAAGACTTCTCTTTCAAGCTTGTCTGATTTTTGTTGCAATTTCTAGAATTCAATTCGTGAGGAATTCAGTCAAAGGAAGTTTCCTCGAGATTGAGCTAGTTGACCTCTGGGAACGTTGGATCTGACTTGGCTTTGCTGGAGCTAATTGTCCGCCTTTTTTTGCTCTTCAAATACATGAAGTTACATTTCTATCCTTAATTAATATGTGTGGGCGTAACAAAAATAATTCCAAACATATGAATTTTAAAAAAACTTAAGGGTATTTTGATTACTAAGAGCTGTTTTTGTCACATTATGTATTAATTATGATATAATGTGCTGAAAACATTTCATCACGTAGCGTGTTTCAATTTTTAAGAAAACGACCGATTCCTTTTAACTTAATTTATGTATATATATGTAACTGTTCAGATAAATATATTAAGTCACAGAAACAAAGTGAGAACTAAATTTTATTTTATTTTATTTTTTTTTCTCTCATTTCTCATCTTCATCACAATTGCAGTCCAATCTCTCACTTCCATTTGGCATCTTAGCCCTCTGTTCAAGTGATTGATATATACATTTATATGAAATTTCCAAGAGATGTGGATTCTTTATAGAGATATAAAAGCAATAGTTGATTGGTGTTTTGCTATATATTTTCCTTTCTTGAATCTGCAGCAAGGCTGGTTGACCTCTGCCAGCCGTGGATCCGACGTGGCTCCGCTACAGCTAGTTGACCTTGTATTTGCTTTTCAATTACATGAAGTTACATTTTTATCCTTAGTGAATATATGTGGCGTGACAAACATATGAACTTGTATAAAAAAACTTGAGGGTATTTCGGTCATACACTTAGAATTAGCTTTGCCCCATCACAAATTATCTTTGTATGATTTACTAGTTGCAGCATATATTTTCTAGTCCAACTGTTACAGGGAACAAAGTATGTGTGAATACTTTCCAATTTAGATGTCACATGGCTTATTTATTTGAATAATTATTAATTTGTCCTTCTAAGTTTTGAATATTCAAGGTTGAAATTTTAAACTCCAAAGATATATATGGAAAGATGTAAAATATATTATTTGAAAAAGAAAAGTGACAACTATTTTTGGACAGACTAAAAAGGAAAGCATAACATTTTTTTTTGGAACAGATGAAATACTTACTTACTTGAGAGAAACAAAAAAGAAAAAATTAAAATTATGTTTTTTTACATATACTTTTTTATTTCAAGAAAGTGTCTTTTTTGGAGAACTGTAACTTTCATGAATTGAAGAATTTTTTGAGACAAAAAGTCACGATTCTCCAAAAGAGAGACTCTTTTTTAAACGGAGGGAGTAATGAAATACTAATGTGTTAATTTGGAGCGAGGCTGATTGGCCTTTTAAAAACTAAGAAAAAAAAAAAAAATAGAGTAAAACACCGAGTAATACTTTATAGACCAATTTGTTTGGCTAAGAAATTTAATCAAACTAGTTTTTATTTTTTTGATGCAGAGAATAAACTCAAGTGTGACTCTCATCTACTTCATCATATAAATGAATAAGTAGATTTTTCCTATTACAGCAGGATTTAGGCTTTGAAAGACCTCGCTTCAATTATCATGCTTCAACTATACAAACTCTTTGTAAATGAAGTTTAATCAAATGAGTACCATATATAATAACCGGTAAAAAGCACTTTGTATATGCAAGTGCCGTTGATTACATATTTGATTAAGTCCACCTGTTTGGGATCAGAACAGGAATCTTATTCTACCGCAACCTTAATAAAATATATATATATATATATATATATATATATATATATATATATATATATATAAACACACACACACACACACTATTGCTGCAGAATTACTCTCTCAACAATGTCAAATTTATAACATTGAGTACCTCATAAGTCGTATAAATATCAGCTAATTCAGATCGACATTGACAGCATTTCTACATGAGGCAGTTTAAACTGGCAAAGCATGAAATCATACATAAAGTAGTAGAAGGTCACAAGATTCACAACAAAACATCAAATATATTGAATTTCCTTTAACTCACTTTCTACCTCATGTGAAAATTTTCTTTTTGGTTTCATCCACGAAGCTCAAGTATTCCTCATGCATATATAATGTTATGTATTCTTTTCCTGGAAGGAGTAGCACTTTCACATGATGGAACATTCATTAGGGTTTTCGTCAGTACTGTAGAGATATTCGAGGCAGGTGGAACATAGCTTGCGTAATAGAAAACTAAATCACCTAAAAAAGCCGATGAAAGAGAGATTATGAATATATAAGATGACAAGAAAATCAGAAAGATCAAAAGCACATTTCATTTATTGGTACATTGATGCAGAGGCACAAAGGTTAGATTATCCGTAGAGACATATATTAGTCATAAATAAACATATAAACAAAATAAAGTAGTCGTTAAATTGGGGGTCTTTGCTATGTATGTGATGGACTAGTCTTTATGAGTTTTAATTATTATCTTATCTGAGGTGTTACTTTGCTTTAACCTTCCAAAAAAATATACTTATATATATACATACATACAATTTTCTTAAATTTTCAAAAAAAAAACTATTATAAAAGCTTTGCTGAGGCGTAAGTACCCTATCCTCTCCGCTTCAAGCAATGAATCCTAAAAACCCATTCATTAGTTGACAATCAAAGCCCTTGTGGTCATTCATCCAATCAAGGTGTGGCTTCTATATCAATCCCAACTCATGGTAGTCCCTCATCACATGGGCTTCTCACCACTGGAAAAATAACAGAGGGTTCTATAGCAACTCAGTGACAAAGCTTGCCCTAAGTTCACTTGTTTACAGCATATGGATGGAGCGTAGTAGGAGAATTTTCAAGAAGAAGTTCTCATTCCAAAATACACTTCTACAGTAAGTCTTAGACACAATTAGACAGAAGCTCTTGTCATCTACACTCTCAGATTCCCCAAGCTCCAAACGTATCATTAAAGAGTGGGAACTTCCAGCCTCTGTTATACGACCACCGGCTAAGCCTCCAGACAACAATTAAATCTTAAAGGGCGAGAATTAGTCTCCATGCTCACTACATTGTGTTGTGTCCAGTTTTGGGCATCCTCTGTCTTCTGGTGCTCTTGTATATATAGGTTGCCTATGTGGTGTGCCTTATACTTTTGGTCTTGTAATGTTTGGTTAGCCTAGGCCTTATGCATAACTTAATAACTTTATACATAAAAGAAAATAGGTATTAGTATAACTTTATGCATGCTTTACCCTTTTATGTTGGAAAATGCATAATATTTTATATATAATTTAATATGCATAAAGTTATACTGGTACCATATTTTTTATTTTTAAGGAAAATGGATTGGTTTAATTTTTTTAGATGAAAGAATTAAGCATCTTAATTTAAAAATAAAAAAGAAAAAGAAAATAAGTAATAACAAAATATAATTTATTTGAAATATATGTATTGGATCAAAAAATCATTTTAGATATCTACTTTTTTAAGAAGTTGGGACATTTATAAAATAAATAACAAAAAAAAAAAAAAAAAGTGTTTTTTTTTTTTTTTATGCATAAATTGTTCATGAGGGTAGATTGGTCCAATTTATTAAATTGTAAAGTTAAAAAAGTCTCCTGAATGATCAAAAAGTAATTTGGCTAATTTTTCATGTAAAGGGGTATCTTTGTCCATTTTTGAACCTTCAGGCAGTGTCTTTGTCCAAAAAACAGGTAAATTTCTTCTGAATGTCTTTTTGCCAAATCTCAAGGGGTGTGACTGTATTTTACTTTAAATAAAATTTTTCAAAAACAACATTAGGGTCAAAATAAATATAGCTTTTTGCTTTTTTCTGCTATATATAATTCATTAGTTTGACCCAAGATTGGATGCGGCCAATAAGTCCATTACTGAATACATTAAGAACTAATCGAAGCTGCTGTCGCAATAGTAAATCAAGAACAGAAAATTAACATGTATAACATGAATTGATAAAAACAAAACTATTCATATATTATAAAAAAAAATAAAAATGTCATTAAAATCAATCAGTTGTTGGCATCTTAAAGCGACAAACGGGACAGAAGTTATTAATTTAAAGCGACAATGCAGTCTTCGTGGTAGATATGATGACAGGGCATGCGAGTGACTTTCGATGCAAGTTGAAATTTGTCCAAACAAATCACACACTGATCCATGTAACCCTCCATTACTATCGCTTTCTCCAAAGCTCGAACGGATGATTTACTTGCCGGCACAGTCTTTAACACATTGTCATCCTCATCATCGCTATCGTCATCATCATCGCCACCGTCAATCCGCGGCCTACACAAAACCACTATGTCCATGAAAAGAAAGGGTACGCTAGCACTAGAACTTGCTTAATACCCGAGACAATGTGACTACGACATATATGGTCACTTATGTCACCACGGGTCCACAACTAGGGAGAATGGCACGAAATATATGGTGAGGATCGACGGTGACTGTGACCGTAGAGAGGTATGTCGAGAAGGGTGGGCTAGTACTAGTACTACTAGTAGTAGAACTTGTGTGGTCGATAGTTATGGCGCGACAAGCAGAGCGAATGTTATGAAACATGTCGCCCCGATTGAGGTTGATTCTAATCGTAGAGAAGAATTGAGAGAAGCACGACTGTGCTTCGTTATCGGACAACAATACAGTGTTCTTCTCACCGCCACACTTTCTTCTAAAGCAAAGGCCTGATTGTACCTAAATTTGTTAATTCGTACTATCAGCCCAAACGAATCAGTCGCCGGCGGCAATAATGTATGGTCAAGATTAAGATGAGCTTTGTCGAAACACCACTCAGTCTTTACGTCATACATGTCCATGTCTATGTCCACGATGCTGTGCAGAAGTATTTGGCCTAGTGAAATAGTACTGAAGCTAGAAGGAATCTATATATATATATATATTTGGAGTCTAGTGTCCTGACCCGCTATAGATCCTCCCTTTCAACAAGGACTGCGAGACACAGTTTATATATGAATGGAACATAGGTGGCAAATCTAATTATCAGATTTACGAGGTTATTCATCAAATATATATATATATATATATATATATAATACTATAATGGTTCGCAAGGAAATAAAAATGGACCATGAATCAATAGCTCCTTGTGTGTACCCTTCCGAATGAAAAAGTGTTTCATTTTAGGATTGGATACATAGTGTGTGTATATATATATATATATATCTACACGGAAAACTATAATGGTTCGGACTCAAAATCATTAGGCGCCTGAGCCGGTCCAATAAGGTGATGGGACGGGTCTGGGTATAAAATTTGACGCCCAGTCCGACTTGTAATCCCACCCGCAAGCCCACCCCCATCGAGATTTATTAGTCCACACCAAGACCACTTATTTATTTATTAATAATTAAGAAAAAAAAAAGTAAATTTATTTATGTGGTGAAGTGTAAAAAATACTCTTAAAATATATTTACTTCATATTTTAAAAAGTGTTCAAATAACACTTTATTCTTTAAACATTGAGTCAAGGGTAGAAAACGCTTGTAAAAAAAATTATACTAAACTTTTATGAAGAGAGAAAATGGAGATGGTGGTAAAAATAAAAAAAATGGATGCTCTATAACAACCTCCCCATCATGGAGATCTGGAAAACGGTAAAAATTAAAATGTGGACTATAGTTTGACCAAATTAACAACAGATACAAACTTCATAGTTCATAATAAAATTATTTCATTTGAGCAGTGTTGTCTGGAAAAAAGATTGATTAATAAATATGATTAATCACAAAATCACAATAAGATAAAAAGTAAAACTATGTTATTGTCCGCTTACCAAGGAAAATTTTAGGATAAGATCTCATCAAATTTTTTGTCGCTATATGGTGATGACAATCATATAATACTTTGATTATTTAGAATCCACACTTTTTTAGGTTCTGCTAGAGCCAACATTTTTTTAGACTCTGTTTATTTCGATTTCGATGTAAAATATATATATTTTTTGAAATATATATATTTTTTAAATAAAATATTTTTTATTTTTATTTTATCAGTATTTGGCAAAAGTATATGTCTAGATTGAGATTGAAGTTTCCATAGCTTGAACCTCTGTTCCACACTAGGCAAACCCTTGCAAGATATTATTCACCGGAAAATCCGACCCTCTTCAATTCTTGAAGAAGGAGTGCTTCAATAGTTTCTCAGCAGAAGGCCTCTTGGACGGGTCTTGATCAAGGCACAAAGCAACCATGTCCTTAAAAGATTTCGAGAATTTCTTGTTCTTCAGGCTCTGGTTGATCTTCTCATAATCCGAGAATCGAAACCGATTTGTGATCTTCATGAAGAGGGACTTCGAAGGAGGGAGGTGAGACAGAGGCGGCCTTCCATGAGCTAATTCCAACGCGGAGATACCAAAAGACCATATATCAGCCTTGAAACTGTACCCTGTATGCGAGTGTATCACCTCCGGTGCCATCCAATACGGCGTCCCAGCGAAGTCTGTGAGCCTCCCGGACGATGATCCCGACGACCCTCTACCCGAACTCGGCTGGAAAATCGAAGCAGAGACACCAAAGTCTGCTAGCTAGCTTAACTGCACCGTTCGAGTCCATCAAAATATTACCCACCTTCACATCTCTATGAAGGTAGCCTTGATCATGAAGATAACACAGAGCATTCAACGTGTCTTTGAGAACAATTGCAATACATGATTCAACAAGCCGTCCGGGAAGGAAGATGATACGATGGACTGTAAAGAGCCTGCAGACATGAGGCATTGACAGCATTTCTAAATGAGGCAGTTTAAACTGGCAAAGAATGAAACCATACATGTATATATAGTAGAAGGTCACAACAAAACAACAGAGATATATTAATATGGTCCAGTATCAGATATGAAACTGATAAGAGCAGACTTACTTTCTATAGAAATTCCTTTAACTCACACTTTCTACTTCATAATTTTCTTTTTGTTTCATCGAACTCAGCTCAGCTCAAGTATTTCTCATGCATATATAATTTTATGTATTCTTTTCCAGGAAGAAGCAGCACTTCACATGAATTCAACATGCATTTGGATTTTCGTCACTGAAGATATTAGCGATGCTTTCCTTAGGCCGGGAAGGAAGAACATTGCGAACGTTGGCTGCAGTACTCTCTACTGTCTTCTTCAACACCTTTTTTGGATCAGCATTGCCACTATCTGTCACCCGGCTTTGATTTCGCTTAGCCTTCACAGATTTCCCACCTAAAAGCCAGTATATAATTAGCATGAAAAGAACTCCAAAGAGATCAAAAGCACATTCCATTTGATTAGTATATATATTGAGCAGCTGAGACATAAGGTTGTAGGTACCTGATTTTCACGTGGGTTCCAGATTTTCACAAAATAACAAATGGTGAGGTAAATCTTGCAATATGATGGAATCCGAGGTGGATTGAGAGAGGTGGAAGCCCAGGCAAACAAGAGAAAGAGAGAGAGATGACAGTGTATATGGAAAACACCATTGACTCATTGATCCATCTGTTAAGGCTTGTGTGGAGATCCCATTAGAGAGAGATTGAGCTTAGAGCTCCCGGTCTAGGAGGAATTTGTCTTCCCTTTTTGTCTGCCTCCCTCTTCTTGGCCTTGGGTCATTTCCTTTTATAGGCCAAGTGAGGGTGGGTGATGTCATTGATGACATCACATGTGGTCCATTAACAAAATAATTAAAAGAGATTAATTTCTTAAATAATTATAAAGCAATGTTGAATAAGATGGAGTCAAATGCTTGTGAGTCAAAATGGTATTTCTCTCTCTCTGCAAGTCAGGCCGAGTGTCGACTCGGCGAACCCTGGACTTCAGCCACCAAACCAAAATCTCCTCAGATCCCAAGGAATCCTGAGTCCTACTCCCAACTCAAGTCTTCGTTCTTTTTATTCGAAGCATGTTGATGCCGTGGCAACTCTGACCGTTGACCAAGTTATGTGGGCCATCGCTACTGATGTGGCGTAGCTCGTTGATCGTTTTGACCAAGCTGTGTGGGCCATTGTTTATGATGTGACGTTTACCATGTGGACTCAAAATATAGGTATCAACATATATTAGTCCCCCTGCGCGAGTGAGCTTTGTAGAAAGTAGAAGGTTAGTCGTGCATAGAAGGTCGGATCGAGGTTCAAGGCCCGTCGATCAACAAATTGCGATGGGGTCGGATCGAGGTTCAAGGTCCGTCGATCGACAGATTGCGATGGGGTCGGATCGATGTCCAAGTCAGATCGAGGCTCTGGGTCCGTCGATTGACTAATCATGGCGTTGGGACACAGGCACTGGGCGCTCGATGTCCAAGTCAGATCAGATCGAGGCGTTGGGCTTGTCGATAGATTTTTTCTAGCTTTAGAGCATTCGGGGCTCTCGATGATCTGCAAGTATGGTTAGTCAATGTGTATCCATCAAATGAACCAAATATAATATAATGCTAAAACTTTATAAAGTCATAGAGGAAGAGCTAATATAAAGTTGTAAATTGAGTGATTTAACTGTACTATGTGTATTCAATGCTATGAGTTGTTTGGGTGACAACATTAGTAGCAGTTTATATTGATAGAGGCATTATTAGAACACGTATATGTAATGTAATAGTGACCCCATAGATGAGGTGAACATTTTGAAAGGCAGTCCTCGAATGAGACTTGCACAAATGCTCTGATAAATGTAAAGTCAAAGATACACTTGAGCATTTGAAATTTGGAAAGTGAAAGAGAGATTTTTTTTTTTTTAAACAAATGATGTTGAATGATAAAGATATATGATGTAATAAGCATTAGGTAAAAGGGAGTGCTTGTAAGATTACATATTGAGAGAAAGAAGAAAAACGAAAGACTTAAACTATATCATTAGTTGAAATGATTAAGGATGCAAAAGTTGTTTCACCAAGTCTCGGGCTTTATAGCATTTTATGAGACTAAAAATATCACCGTTAAAGCAGTTAGGTAGAGAATGGGCATGGTGTGTCCATAGGAGAGGACAATAACGAACTCTGAGTATGTCGCATATGTAGTATTAGGTTGATAGCATATGGGATTGTAAGCAAAAGGCTTAACACTTTTTTGTATTAGTAACTAAAAATAAATAGTGTTTTGGTAGCTACTACTTGGTAGGTACATGACATGCACTGGGTAAAATTAATAAGTAAGGTACAAAATGATGGTAGTATGTCAATGCCATGTTATGGGATACATTTGTGTAGATCAATTTAGCAGTGAAAAGCTTTGTGAATAAGGTTTAAAAGGATGTCCAATATGTATTGTAGACATAAAGTGAACCTAAAAGTGCAGAAAGTATAAAGCATCTTTAAGAATGAGGCCTATCCGAGGAGGTATATATATGTATTGAGAGGTAGTGGGAACTCAATTGGGGATAGTAGATTTGTTTTTCAACGTTTATATAAGGGCCTGTCGAAGGCCGCATCATTGACAAGATGACAGTCATGTAAATAAACATTTATATATATATATATATAAATGTAATGCTGTAAATGCATGTATGTGGGTGATCTGTGTAAGACCGAATGAGTTTTTTATGAGTTTTATGTGGTAACCCTGTGCATGAGCTAGCTAAAAAGAAACAGACTGACGTAAAGAGACGGTCCTAGCATAATGGCCTAGGCAAGATGATGGGTCATACCCATAAAATAGATATTAAAAGAATGTGTAATGGGATTGTAATTAATGATAATTTGTGGTAAGAAATATATAGAAGATATATATTTTGTGCGTGTCTATGTAGTCATATGTAGCTTTTAATGCAAGCTTACAGGCTGTGAGTGGAACAATACAAAAATGTATCATACAATAATAAAAGGCTGATAATTGATGAGAGTGCTCCTACATGCATGTGACTATGATCGCCCCTTTATTATTATTTAAAATAAGGATAGGAGGTAGGTGCATAGAAAATATTGTGCTTCATTCAAATATATATGTATATGGTATAGAATATAGTATTATTATGCTGCCAAATCAAAGTTGATTGTTGTGTGCAACAAGTACGCATGGAGTATGGTGGTCATGACAGTGCATATGAATGGAGACCAAATATGATACATAAATAGTTGTAGTATCTATACCTATATATGTGTATATAGATTAGGAAAATTTAGTGGTGGGATCCACTTTTATAACTTTCTTCAGTGGATGGGAGATGTGCAATTGAAATTCACCAGTGAATCTGGGCAGTCTATTGGAAAATAGAGATCAGTGTGCGCTTTTAAAGTTTATTGTATACGTTAAAATCGATGGGAACATCGCTGATGTACAAAATCGACAGCCTCGATGGCAATGAAATCGACGGGTCTCGTCTGAATAAAAAAAAATGGAGTGTGTGAAATCAACGGGTGAATGACAGCGAGCGGAGTTGCATGAGATCGACGGGTGGATAATCAGACGGATGTAGGAAATCGACTAGCTTTGTCGATTAACTGGCATGGCATCGAAGGGTAGGTGTCGACTGTCATTGGCATGAAAAAATCGACGAGCCTTTATCGATTAAAACTGGTCGCCTGACATTGACGGGCGTCGGCTTTTGGCAAAATAGTATCATGAGATCGACGGGTTTGTCGATAAAAAGAGGTTTGAAATCGGTGGTCGCAGCTGGAGGTCGACATGGTCGGAGCGCATCGACAGGGTCTGGAACTCTAAATCGACGGACTGGTAACTGGTAGCACGAAACCGACAGGTTTGCTGGACAACGGGTTGGTTCGTCGACAAGGGGTTGAAATCGACGGGTTGTCAACGTGGGGGTGGGTGTCGACGGTTGCATGATCGTTTCAAATCAAAGTGCTCGAAAAAGAAACGGCAGTCTCGGCGTCTAAGATCGATAGGTCATAGTCGGTAAGGAATGAGCACGCAATCGACGTACAGATTATGAATCCATTGGTTGATATGTAGCCCAAACAAAAATGAGGGGTTATTGACAAGTCTAGCTACACCGAATCGACGGGTCATCACTGGGCAGCGTAGTTAAAAACTTGGCGCGAAATCAACTGGCCTCGCCATTGACAGGCTTCGTCGGCGACAACCTAAGTCGGAGATTAAAGGTAGGAGCCCAAAAAAAATTGAACGGGAATTGACAGAATCGCCGGATGGGTCTGAAATCGACTGGTTGGGTGTTTGAGACGGCATAAAAAATCGACGAGCCCTTATCGATGAAAACTGGTTGCTTGACATCGACGGGGGTCGGCATTTGACCAAAATAGTATCATGAGATCGACGGGTTTTGTCGATGAAGTTTGAAGTCGACGGCCGTTGCCGGCGATCGACAGGTTCGTCGCCGACAGGTAATTGACCAAGGGTGTAAAATCGATAGGCTGTCGAACAAAAAAGCGGGCGTTGACAGAAGGTTGCAAAAAATCCACCGGCGTCGATGAAAACGATTGCACGGGATGGACGAGCTCTGTCAATGATTGCATTAGATCCACGATTGTATGAGGAAATAGCCCGTCGATGTTGACGGACTGTTTGCAGGAATTTAACTGGTGTTTGACAAGTAAACCAGTGGTCATCGTGAACACCGATGGCAAGAAATCGACCGGTGTCGGCGATTTTGAGAAAGAACGGCTGCATGAAATCGACCGGGCTTTGTCGCTGACAGTTTGCACGAGATCGACTGGCAGATCAAACCAACACTGGTTCGACGAAATTTGATGGGTTGTCGCCGGAGATCGACAAGCATCTTTGATAAAAACGGTGGCATGGAAACGACAGACGTCGGACAAACTGGTTTGTCTGAAACCGACGGTATTCGTCAAAAAAAAAAAAAGAAAGTTTCGCATGAAATCGAGTGACTTAGTTGGAATCCAGGGCTGTACGACGATGGCAAGAAAACGGTTGCATGAAAAATTGACTGCATAAAGGGAAAACGATGAGTTTTGTTGATGGCATCAACATGTGGGTGGAGAAACAACGGTTGCTGGAAATCGACCAGCGTTGTTGGCGGTTCTAGGAAATCGACTGGCCTGTCGATCAAACCAATTGCATGAAATCAACGGGTGGGTCGTCAATCCAAACAGGTTAACAAAAGCAATGGGTTGTTATCGGACGAGCCCATCTAAATAATGCATTTACGTTGCAAATTTATCTGTGTAATACTTTGATTATGTCATGAATAGTGTTGATTTATGGGCATGCAACACATGGGATGATGAGATTAATGTTTGACGAAGCACCAGTAAAGGATAGAGCAGTCACAGCTGATTGTGAGAACCGCCATTGACGAGTGTGTGTCGTCCTTGAGATGGTTGCATGAATTTGACGAGTTTTGTCCTTTAATAATACCGGTCGTGGAGTAGTTTGCAGTAAAAGAATGCAACATTTTAACGAGATAATCATTAAACGGAGAAAATCATTGTATACATGTGTGGTCAATGTATACATGTGTGCATACATATATGCGTGGCTATACATATACAATTACAAAATAGTGGATTTTGGTGTAGTAATAAAAAAAATAAATTGACGTAGTGCTATTCTATATATATATTATAGATGTCAAATTCCATACGTCTAACCAAAAAATCCTTTCTTCTTCCAATTTTTCGATCTTCTCATTCATTCTATTCTACCAAGGAATAATCTATAATAATTCGTAAATCTAGATCGGATAATTGTTCTCGGATAACACCTGCTCCAGTAGAGATCTCTCAATTTCGCGCAGATAAGATTTGTGTGGCTACAAATGAAAGTAAAAAAATGAGATATTTTTTAATAGTTGTAGTGATAAGGTGTCTGGCTGTAGATGAAAGTAGAAAAGTAATATATATATATATATATATATATATATATATATATATGTTCCAGAAAGTAAATATACGTGAAATTGATTATCAGATCGATTGATTTATGATTAAGATCAGCTTTTTCTAATTAAGCATCAATTAATGTCAGATAACAGCATGGGCACAAGAAGATTAAAGTGGAAATAGAGGGGCATGAGATCTGTGCTATTACAGTAAGCCCTAAAATGTGAGTCATGTATCAGCAGAGAGAAATGCAAAGAAGTAGACAGAGATGAGTTTTAGAACAAAGTCACCCGTGTAAGGCAGTGAGTTTTGCATAAAGAGCTCCATTGAGTTTGCACAGAGAGTTCTTCCATCTTTTTTTTTTTATTATTATTTTTTTTTTATCAATGAATGCTCAATTGCAAAATAGAGATTGACAGTGGCTTTTGAATTCTTCCCTATCCACAAAGGGCTCTTCTCACGATTTACACAAGAATACCTCCCTAGTGAAGTCGCCAAATGTAGGTACCTGATTTTCAGATGGGTTCCAGATTATCACAAAATAACAAATGGTGAGGTAAATCTTGCAACATGATAGAATCCGAGATAGATTGAGAGAGGTGGAAGCCCAGGCAAACAAGAGAGAGAGAGAGAGAGATGGCAGTGTATATGGAAAACACCATTGACTCATTGATCCATCTGTTAAGGCTTGTGTGGAGAACCCATTAGAGAGAGATAGAGCTTAGAGCTCCCGGTCTACGAGGAATTTTTCTTCCTTTTTTGTCTGCCTCCCTCTTCTTGGCCTTAGGTCATTTTCTTTTATAAGCCAAGTGAGGGTGGGTAATGTCATTGATAACATCACATGTGGTCCATTAACAAAATAATTAAAAGAGATTAATTTCTCAAATAATTATAAAGCAATGTTAAATAAGATGGAGTCAAATACTTTGGAGTCAAAATGGTATTTCTCTCTTTTTGCAAGTCAGGCCGATTGTCGACTCGACGAACCCTGAACTTCAGCCACCAAACCAAAACCTCCTCAGATCCCAAGGAATCCTGAGTCCTGCTCCCAACTCAGGTCTTCGTTCTTCTATTCGAAGCATGTTGATGCTGTGGCAACTCTGATCGTTGACCAAGTTATGTGGACCATCGCTACTGATGTGACATAACTCGTTGACCGTTTTGACCAAGCTGTGCGGGCCATTGCTGATGATGTGGCGTTTACCGTGTGGACTCAAAATATAGGCATCAACAACGGTTATATTATCCCAAGAGACACATATTATACATAAATAAACATATAAACAATATATATAGTAGGGTTAATTTGGGGGTCATGGCTATCTATGTGATGGACTTTATGTGTCTTATATTATCTTATCTTAGGTGTTACTTGCTTTGACCTTCAAATAAAACAAAATAAAATTAAAATTAAAAATAAAACAAAAAAAACTGGGGTGTTAATTTTCTTCAATTACAGGAGCGTTTATGAGGTACATATATAATTTGCTTAAATTTTTGAAAAAATAAAATAAATTATTGCTAAAGCAAAAGTCTTTCTTCTTCACTTAAATCAATAAATCCTAAAAGCCCATTCATTAGTTGATCGTACAAAAATGACATTGAAGTCGAAAATAAAGACTTCCAAAGCACGAAAGACAGAGAAATTATAGATTAGATATCGAGGCAAAGTCAATTAAAGATCAAAAGACTTGGGTAGATAATCAAGAAAAAAAGCTTTAACAATTTATAACTTAGACTTCCATAAATTAATAACCAAATCATTAACTCTAATGGATCAAATAAGTTACAAGAACCATAGGATATAGAATCATAGATAATCCATTGTTTGTCATAGAAGGATGAAAAAGAGCTTGAGAGAGAGAGAGAGAGAGAGAGAGAGAGAGAGAGTATCTATAAGAACCTTTCCTGAACTTAACAACATTCTTCACCCTCCTTGGGCAGCTATCACAGTGCACATTGACTACAATTTCAACAGTCTGCACAGACGGAAACAGAACCCATCTCTCAGAAAGAAGTAAAAAAGCAACTGAAGAGAGTTTAAACCAGAAAAACATGTGTGTATGTGTGTGAGAGAGAGTTGAGTTGTTCACAGATGAGACTACCTGTTTGCGTTTTCCCTTGGAATCACAAACCTTTTTACCTTTCCTCGAACTCGACATTTCATTCAATTTTGACATTATTTGATTCATCAGCACCCGATTCTTCTTGATATCCCTAGTTATCAGAGCTTGCACATTGATCTGAAAGAATTTCTGAAGCGAGTCTGTAAATTTGATGAGCTTCTTCGAGTGGAAAGGCCTCATGAAGCACTTCAAACCCTCAATTTTTGAGCACTTGAGGACCAGCTCATTGCCCTCACTCAAGAGGTCGGTTAGTTTCTTGGTTACTTCCTCTACAACGTTCAATTCTCCGTCCAACTTCACAATATCAACTACAATTGCTTCCACTGAATTCAGTGTTGATCTAAGTCCGGCGAGTTCGGACTTGAACTTTCTGGTTTTGTCAGTCACATCCACAACAACTTTCAGTAATTCACCAAAAGTTGCACCTAAAGCAGCCCCTCCATTAATCAACGACCCCGTGACAGCCATTATCTATATGTTTTCTCTTCTCTTCTCTGCACACGAGAAAAACCTAATTCATTGAAATTCAAGAGGAAATGTGTTTCTCTTGAGTGAATCAAGAATTTCAGAAGAAATTAATGTTTTGGAATTCCACAAGTTTCTCTGATTTTTCTTGGAATTCAATTCATGAAAAAAGATCAAAGCGATGTAATTGGTCTGGGAACACCATGACTAGTGCCCACCGAGAACAGGCCAAGTAAAAAGCTAACACAAACATGTAACGATTTATTTAGAATAATAAAGCAAACACATGTTAAGATTTTATCTCTTCTAGTGCAGATTGAATTATTTAGTGCAGATTGAATTATTTACTTCTTGATTTAGGATTAATTGGTAGGTAAATAATTACCTATTTACTTCTTAATTTAAGGTTAATTTATAAATAAATAGTTATCTATTTTAGCTAATCCTAGTCTATAAATTAAATATAATATTCATCAATGAAATATCGAGTTTTAATTCTCATATTTTTTCTCTCAATTTCAATATGGTATTAGAGCATCATTGAACCTTAAATGTGAATCTCTTTCAATTTATCTTTGACATTCAAAGAACCATACACAAACACAGAAATTACCAACCCAGATATTACCAACCTTCAAAGGCCCATAAACAAACACAGAAATTACCAACCCTGAAATTCATACTGCCATCACAAGCCGCTGCCGTCACAAGCCACAGCCATCACAAGTTGCATCGCCGTCGCCGGCTCCGCTTTGCGATTAGCCATCACTGGATCTACAGTCCTTGACTACCGAACCATTGTCTATAGCGTCGCCGGATCTTCTCCATCATCGTCTACGTCTCCGTTATCAGATCGCCAGCTGCTTTCACGGCCATCCCATAACTGTCGGTCGTCTCTATCGCTGGCTACTTTCCAAACTCACTGCCGCGAGCCGTCCTTATCGCACTGTCCACCGGCCATTAATCAATCGATCGTGTCGCCATCGAGGCCGAACCAGCCGCTGCACCAGTTTGTCCCTGCCGGATCTATTGTCGGCGGTGGGCTCTGCCCTATCGTCGTCTTCTCCGGCGACGCAAGCCATAGTTTTCTAGTCGCTGCCTCGCATCCAGGTTTTTATTTTTGTCTCTCCTAACAGAGACGTAACTTGATATTTGTTAAGTTATGTTATTCTATTAAAATATATATATATATATATATATATATATATATAAGAACAAAAAAAAAAAACCCCCTAAACCAGTTTTGTAACATCATTTGAAAACTGGTTATGTATAAACCAGTTCAAAAAAAAAAAAAAAAATTGAGTGTTAAAAATATTGGATCATTTAGAACAGATAAATCTACCTACAAATGTACTCATTTCAACCAAACTGGTTATACCAAAAGTCGCTGTTTCAAACTTGTGGGATATCCAGAATGGTGGAATTATCGTCGTTGGAAGAAGAATTCAACAAAGACCTCCACTGGAGCAGTTGTTAAAACAACAAATACTGGTAGTAAGAATTTCAATATTTCTACACATGTTGCTAATAATGCATGGATAATTGATTCTGGTGCCACAGATCATATGACATTTGATTTTAAAAAAGTCTCACCTCTTAATTCATCTTCTCACAAATTTGTTTCTACTGCCAATGGGACTTTGACCCTAGTTATTGAGGAAGGATCTTTGACACTCACTGATAATCTGCATTTGGATTCTGTTTTAGTTGTTCCATCTTTAGATTCTAATCTTTTGTCAATTTCCCAAATAACCACAGCTTTATCTTGTGTTGTAATTTTTTGGCCTAATTTTTGTGTGTTTAAGGACATCCAAACAAAGCAGACAATTGGTTGTGGTATTAGGCAAGGGAAACTGTATTACTTGGATTTGATGTCCAAAAGTTCCGACAAGTTACAACAAGCATTGACAGTGCATGGTTCTGAGGGGGAGAGAAAAAAATCCGAAATATGGCTGTGGCATCGACGTCTGGGGCATGCTTCATTTGGTTATCTGAAAAAATTATTTTCCAGTTTGCTTGCAAACTGTGATGTTTCTAGTTTCAGCTGTGATGTTTGTGAACTAGCAAAAAGTCACTGTGTTTCGTATCCATTATGTTTGCATAAAAGTTTACTTCTTTTTATACTTATACATTCTGATGTTTGGGGTCCGTTCAAAGACACCACTTTAGGTGGATCCTGTTGGTTTGTTACTTTTATGGATGACTATACCAAGATGACCTAATTGTGCTTGATGAAGTCCAAAGGTGAAATGAACTTATTGCTTTAGAAGTTTCATAAAATGGTTGAAACTCAATACAATGCACATGTTTAGGTTCTCCGTAGCGACAATGGTAGAGAATATCAGAGTTTTGCCTTTTAGTAGTATTTGGAAGCACGTGGAACTATTCATCAAACCACTTGTTCCAATACACCCAAGCAGAACGGGGTTGCGGAGCAAAAAAATCGACACTTGTTGGAAGTTATTCGTACTTCATTGATAGAAGCGCATATGCCATTATCGTATTGGGAAGAAGCACTTACCTCTGTAACATATCTCATTAATCGAGTACCTTCCAGCTCTATTGCCTTTCGGACACCATTGCAGGCTCTCACTGACGCAGTTGTTGCCCAACCGTCCTAAATCTACCTCCTCATGTCTTTGGTTGTGTAGCATTTGTACACCTCCATACACATCAACGCAACAAGCTAACTCCTCAAGCATTGCGATATGTTTTTCTCGGATATGCTACTCATCAAAAGGGGTATCGCTATTATCACCCTCCCACTCGATGAATATTTATCACATTGGATGTTATTTTCCATGAAGACTCAATGTATTTTTCCTTCGCGTCTAAACTTCAGGGGGAGTACCAGAACGAAATTTAGACTCTAGATTATGATTATCACATTTTTTAGGATGGCGATTCTATTATTAATGACTCATTAGTTGGACCAACCAATCAGGAATTAGGCGAATTGGATTCGAGTGGTATAAGTTTGGATCAAAGTGGTGATGAACGCCTAGAAATGGAACGTATGACGCCAACCCCATCGTCGTCTGAGTTCGAGTCCCTCACAACTGATATATCAAGCCAATCGCCTGCTGAGGATGTTCCTGATTTAGTGTTTGAGCCACTCAGAAAACAATTACCACCGCGTCACACTAGAGGCATTTCTAAACCCACGTATAAACCCGAACTTTCTAGTAAAGTTAAGTATCCCATGACCAACTATGTGTCGAACTGTCGTTTGTCAAAATCAAATTTGTCATTTGTAAATCAATTATCTACTGTATCTATTCCTAACAGTGTGCAAGAAGCCTTAGCTGACCCTAGGTGGAAAGCAGCTATGAATGAGGAAATGAAATCCTTGTAGAAAAATGAAACTTGGGAACTCATTGATCCTCTACTAGGAAATAAACCAGTTGGATTTCGATGGATTTACACTGTGAAGTATAAAACAGATGGCACAGTTGAACGCTTTAAAGCAAGATTGGTGGCAAAAGGTTACACCTAAACCTATGGAATCGATTACACAGAGATGTTCAGACTTGTAGCCAAAATAAACACAGTTCGTGTCTTGTTGTCTTTAGCTGCGAACTTGGATTGGCCATTGCAACAATTCGATGTGAAGAATGCCTTTCTGCATGGTGAATTATCTGAAAAAGTCTGCATGGATCTCCCACCAGGATGCATGATACCCGAAAAGTATAGATGGAAGGTCTGCAGGTTAAAGAAATCATTATATGGGTTGAAACAATCTCCAAGAGCATAGTTTGGAAGATTTACAAAGTCTATGATAGCCTTTGGCTACCGTCAGAGCAATTCAGACCACACGTTATTTCTGAAGAAACAACAGGGTAAGATCACTGCACTCATTGTATATGTAGATGACATGGTGGTTACAGGGAATGATCCTAAAGAAATGAAGGCTCTCAAGAAGTACTTGTCCAGAGAATTCGAAATGAAAGTTCTAGGTCTTTTGAGATACTTTCGTGGGATCGAAGTGTCTTGATCTAATAAAGGAATCTTTCTATCTCAAAGAAAATATGCCTTAGATCTATTAAAAGAGATTGGCATGACAGCATGTCAACCAGCTGAGACACCGGTGGAAGAAGGACTGAAGTTATGTGTTGAGTCCAACCAAGTACCTGCTAATAAAGGAAGATACCAAAAACTTGTAGAGAGATTGATGTACTTAGCATACATGAGACCGGATTTGGCTTATACATTGAGCATTGTTAGCCAGTTTATGCATGATCCTGGAGAGCAACATATGAATGCAGTTATGCGCATTTTGAGGTATTTGAAATCTGCTCTTGGAAAATGAATTTTGTTCACTAAAAATGTTGGTTACCAAAACATAGCTGCATATACTGATGCTGACTGGGTTGGAGCTATAGATAATAGGCAATCTACTTCTTGTTACTTTACTTTTGTAGGAGGTAATATTGTTACATGGGGAAGCAAGAAACAAAATGTTACTGCTCGCTCGAGTGCAGAAGCTGAATACAGAGGTATGACGCTTGCACTTTGTGAAACATTATGGTTAAGACTTCTATTGCGGGATTTGGGTTATCTACCTAGGAAACCTATTCGATTATATTGTGACAATAAAGCAGCATGTGATATTACCCATAATCCAGTTCAACATGATCGTACGAAGCATGTTGAAAAAGACAGATTCTTCATTAAGGAGAAGTTAGATGGGAAAATTATGGAGTTGCCTAAGATTCGATCTGAGGATCAACTAGCTGACATTCTCACAAAAGCAGTCTCAAATCAAGTGTTTTCAAAATTTTTAGACAAGTTGGGCATGTATGACATCTATGCACCAACTTGAGGGGGAGTGTTAAGATTTTATCTCTTATAGAATAGCTGTATGATTGAATTATTTACTCATTGGTTTAGGGCTAATTGGTTGGTAATTAGTTACCTATTTTAGCTAATCCTATTCTATAAATTGGATGTAATACTCATCAATGAAATATCGAATAGAGTTTTAATTCTCATATTCTTTCTCTGAATTTTAAGAACACACTGTTGGAAGATTAATCTTGACTTGTCTAGATTCATCTAAGAAGACCAAGTGATACTTAGGAAGGTGCAAAGAATCTCATAATAATTGCTAGTACATGGAACATTTTAGTTAATATGAAATATTTTAGTTCATTGCATGTATTAAATTCATGTACTAGAAATATCCATTGAGTAGTATAAATAGGTGAGTCATGTATGTGTATTTCAATACACAAACAATTGAGCAATACAAGATAAAGAATTCAACTTTATAGAAGTGAGTGTTTTTGAATTGTGTGTTTACTAATTCAGTTGAATATATGTGAGTGTATCCCATTTGTGTTCATTTGCCTACCAACTCCAACAGAGTGGTATCAGAGCCTTGTTACAACATCGGCAAAGAAAAATGGCGTCTAACAACATGTTGCAGCCCTAACTTCCCAATATGTTGTATGGATCCCAAGATTTATAGAAAATTGTTGAAAACGGTTTTGAAGAACCGAAGAATCAAGTATGGCTAAGTCAAGCACAACTCAATGAGTTGAAGGAGAATCAAAAGAAAAACAGGATGACGTTGTTCTTCATTTATCAAGCAGTTGATAAAATAAATTTTGAAAGAATCTCGACAGCCATTTTAGCAAAGCAAGCGTGGGATATGTTACAGGCCACTTATAAGGGTGAAGATAAAGTTAAAGTGGTGAGATTGCAAGCTTTTTGAGCTGAATTCGATACGATTAAGATGAAAGATTCTAAAAGTGTAGAAGAATACTTTAATCATATTCTTTTGATCACTAACCAATTGAAGGTGAATGGAGAAGATATTCAAGATCAAAGAATTGTTAAAAAAATCCTCCGAAATATGCCCAGAAAATTCGAACACATCGTTGTAACAATTAAAGAGTCAAAAGATTTGTCGACTTTGTCAGTGAATAGTTTGATGGGATCACTCCAATCTCATGAGTTTCGATTAAAGAATTTTGATTCAACTCCTCTAGAACAATCATTTCATACTCAAATTTTTTTTAGAGAAGGTTCGAGAGGAACAAGAAGTGATCGAAGTGGCCGAGGAAGAGGAAGAAATAGTGAAGGAAGAACTTTTAAGTGTAAGGAAAATGCTAATTTTCCTCCTAATAAAGGAAGAGGAAGAT